TTTGTGGCCGGCTTGTTGCCCTGACGACCCCTGGAACGAGCTCACACGTGGCCCGGGGTGCAGGCTGTGCCTCCGTCAGCCCCTCGCGCACCTGTCACGGAAGAGGTCGTAGCCGGGAGGGAGGGTTTCCCGACAGATCCACTCGCCCAGGCCTGCGAGGAAGGACCACGTATTCCCGCTGGGAGGTGGTGGCAGGGCCGAGAAGCCACGGAGGAGGCCAGTCATGTCACCCCGATGGGACTCACACTGAGCCCCATGGGCCACAGCGCACAGGCCTGCATGCGCACGCAGGCACACGCGTGCACACACACAGGCACGCACACACACGCACACACACAGCGAACAGGCAAGCAGACGGAACTACACACAGTGGATCTGCAGCTGGGGTTTCTGGGTGGCTCCTCCCTGTCCCTGTACCCGGGAGGCGTGGCTGAGCAGTTGGGTCGCTTACCAAGGTCAGAAACCACGACTCAGGAGGAGGAGGACTTGGTGAGGATCAGAGGAACCTGTTGGAGGCGGGGAGGGCGGAAAGGGATTAGGAGCCCTCCAGGGGGGCAGCCAGGTGGACGGTCGGGCCCAGGTCCCTGCCCAGGAGGAGGCCGCAGACCTCGTTGGAAACGGGCCTGTGGTGCCACCTTCATCTTCTGGGCGTTGGCTGGTGCCCTCCGGTGGATCAGTGATCGGAACGCAGCTGTTTTCAAAAGGCCTCGTGGTCTACATTCAGGTGTTGTTGTTTTTTAATATGTTTTTATTGATTTCAGAGACTGGAGGGGGAAGAGAGAGAAACATCAATGAAGAGAGAGAACCCTGGATCGGCTGCCTCCTGCACGCCCCACACTGGGGATCGAGCCCGCAACCTGGGCATGTGCCCTGACTGGGAATTGAACTGGTGACCTCCTGGTTCATAGGTTGACGGCTCCGCCGGGCTTCCACCATAAGTCAGTTTTTGACGCTCCAGAATGACGCCTCCCAGGTTGCACTCACGTCCGATAGTCGCAGTGTTTCCCTAGTCGGAGAGCCACATGTCCCGTTCGTGGGTTTTTAATCGTCTCATTTTCCTTACATCCCTGCTTTTGCCTCCTCCCGAGCAGTAACATCCAGGCCATCTGGGCTCTGAGGTGTGCTGATTCGTTCCATACACAACATCATAACTACACACGGAAACGTCCGCCTGCTCACCCCACGCCGTCTCACACGTGTGGCCTCAGGCGCACCTCCCCGCCTCCTGAGGCTGAGGCGGCCGAGAGGAGGCTTCCAGCAGCCCCTCACCTCCGCCAGCGGGGCGGCCCTCGTGGGGGGCGGGAGGAGGTGGCGCCTCACAGTCACGTGTGCGCTCCCCACTCACACCGTCCCCTCCAAGGGGCCGTGACCGTGATGAATCCCTGCTGCTTCCCAGCTTAACTCCGGCCGCACCCCATGTGCTCCTTCCTCCCTGCCTGGGTTTGCTCCGCCAGTTGGCCGCCCTGTGCCCCGAGGGCGGCGCTCACGTCTCTCTTCCCCGCAGGTTTAGCTTCTTCTCCCGGGATAAGAAGCGGCTGGCGTCAGAGAAGGCCACCACCACCCCTCTGTGAGGGAGGAATTGCTGGCTCCCCAAGTTACAGGTGGGGAAACAGGCTCTGAGTGGTCAGCCAAGTATGCAGGCTAGTAAGAGGGGGCCTGGCAGGCAGATCGCCTCCTTGGGAACAAGGTGGGGAGGGTACGAGCTGATGGAAGGGGCTCAGGCTGTCCTGATGAGGGGAGGGCCCTGTTCGCAGGAACAACCTGAACATGGTGGGGCTCACCTTCAGGGCCTCCCGCCTCCACTGCTTCAGAGAGCAGCAAACTGGGTGCTGGGCTGGACTTGAGCCTCTTCTGTTCACATTTCACTGGGCAGGGCAAGTCCTCTGGGTGGTGGTGGTGGTGGTGAGGGGGGTGGAGAGCAGTGAGGATACAGGGCCAGGGAAGGAGATACATTCCACTGGCAGGCAATTAGGAGGGGAGAAAGCCGCGCACTTGATCCCGACATAGAGCAAGCGGTGCTGAGTTGGTTCCTGGGGCCCAGAAGGACGCCCTGGGCTGGAGACAGGTGTAGAGCGCATGCACCAGCCAACGGCTATGGTCCCGGCTACTTTTTGCTGCGCCTCGTGAACCTGTTGCATGCCCCAGAGACCAAGGGCGGGACTTCCTGGGGAGTTCTGAGGACTTGGCCAAACACAACATGCTCCCTAGCACCGGAGGCCCCCCCAGCACAGCGCCCAGACAGGGAGCCCTGAGCAGGAGTCGGGGCCAGGGCCCGCTTCAGCTGCAGTCCTCTTCCTGCGTCTCAGGGCGATCTTCATTCACCCATTCATTGACTCTGGCCCTACGCGTGTGTGCCTGGCTGCGCTCACTGCAGGCGCTCTGAGAGGCACCCCAGAGGCCTGCCTGGCTGGGGCTTCCCCGAGGAGCTCTGGCCCAGGGGACCTGAGGTTTGGGGGTGGGCCCCAGGCCTGGTTGCTGACTGCCTTTCGCCCAAGGAGCTCTGCTGGGCCTCGCCTCCTGCTCCCTGCTCCGCCCTGGGCACCTGCCAGCATCCTCGCCCATCCCAAGGACATGGCACCGGTGGGGACCCTGCAGCGACGACTAGCTCGCGCTCACACGCAGGACTGTGGTCCCTGGGCACTTGCGGCCGGAGACTCGGCCACACGTGGGCTCAGCGCGGGCCAGAGAAGGAGGTGGGACTTCCCTGCTGGGCCGGCTCTGCGTCCCTGGAGGACAGCGGCCATCTCTCCATTAGCTGCGGTCTCCCCAGCTCCCGCGCACAGGTCACTGAGCGCACCCCAGTGACTGAGGGGGAGGCAAGCGCGGTCAGCGGTCTGCGCAACAGGGCGAGCGGGGACCACCTCGGACTCCCGCAGGCGGCCGGGCCCCAGCAACCCCAGGGCCCGCAAGAGCCGCGGACTCCCTGGGCGGGGCCTCCGTCTCGATGGCGTCGGGGGGCGGAGCCTCAGACGCACTGGGGCGGGGCCTCCGCCTCGGTGGCGTCAGGGGCGGGGCCTCCGTCTCAGTGACTCCAGGGGGCGGAGCCTCTGCCGCGGGGCGTCAGGGGCGGGACCTCCGTTTCTGTGACGTCAGGGGGCGGAGCTTAAGGCGCACTGGGGCGGAACCCGGCGCCGTCACGTAGCTCCGGTTCAGCCGCGCGCACGTTAGTCCCCGTGTCCAGTGGTCGCCGCCTCGCCGCGATCATGCCGATGTTCGTGGTGAACACCAACGTGCCCCGCGCCTCGGTGCCG